GACAGTTTTTATTCCACAACAGAGCCTTTCTGGTGACAGCATACCTCCTCAGAGCGCTCCAGTGTGCAGCTTTGCTTCCTCCTTGAATCACAATGTGAATTTCTTTTTGGAGAGCTTTAAAAGCGAGATAAAGTGAGGTTACTGTCAGTCCCTTTGTAGCCTTGGGGAACTGCGTGGGACCATTTCTCCTGCGCAATTTCTAGCAACACCAGAGGTTGTGACCTCAGAAGAATCGTCTTCTTTCCTTACTTCTGTTGCCTTTATTGAAACAAAATTAAAAGCTTTAAACCCCTGAGAATTCAGTGATTTCACACGCTTTGGCCCACTCTGATTTATACCTTTGTTAATGCAATAAGCATTTTTCCTGCTATATGACTCTGTTGCCCTGATTTTCATCTCCCACTTAGCTGTCCCAGGGTAACCATCAATGACAAATGCTTTGAAAACTGGCCCCAAATTCCCCTCTGCCTCTTGCCTCAAGGGCAGAGCTCCTCTGTTTGGTAAAAGAAGACAGACAAAAGGTACAATTGCACTTGTAGAACTTTCCTGTGCCATTTGAACTAATTCTGAGATGCTTTGCACATAAAGTCAGTGAATAACAGACTCTTAGTTCATTTTTTGTTCTAGTAGATAATTAACTACATTTTTTGAACATGATGTGGATCCACCTGATAAAAAGTATTTTCATTTAATTTTTTAATGAGATGAAAATTACAAATAAAGAGAACATATTGGGATTGACCCCAAACTACCTTTCATTTACTTCTTGATGTATTTTTTAAAAATTTATTTTAAAGCACACTAAATTAAACATTTACATACAACATTTATAATGAGAGAACTAAAATATTTTTCTCAGAAAATGCCAAAAGGAGATGTTTTCCATTTTTTTAGGAGGGGAGGCACTTGAGCAAAACAATTTTGTAAATATGACACCAATTGATATATTTTGTTCACTCCAAGCCTACAGTTTCCAGTGAAAAACTGCAACTGCTTGAGAAGTTCACACGGTTCTTTTTACACATTCATTCTGGTGGCAATTTTACCCCCCCATCTTGGGCTTCTGTTATTCAAAAGATCTTAGCCATGACAGAAGAAACAATGACCCTGAAGTTCACCACAAAGACTCACAGTCTTTACTAGTCTGAAATCTCCCCCCATTCATAATTTATCTTACCCTCAAGTCCACTAATTTGTAAACTGCAAAAACAAAGACGGTGCCCAAGAACTGCGCAAGAGATTCCAGCTCTCCAGCATGCAGGAGTTCACAGAGTCCCCTGAGATAGCCCGTGAACTCAGCAGCACAAGTTTAATGTTGCCCAATAGCTTTTACAACTTACTTTCATGATCTTTTTTCAATGACAATATAATAAATAATGTCAGTTTGGGATTTTTTCCTTGCCTGTTTTTCTGTTGCAACAGACATAGAGAAAATCCCTGATAAGCATCTGTTGTGGAGAAAAATTAAGTACAATATGCATGCACAGAACACATATTAGTTTCCCAAATCATCTTAATGATGGGCTATAAATATTTTTTTGGCCTGCTTGCAGGCATATTACTTTCAGTCATGACCATATGAGTTTCCATTAACAGAGCTGGATCCGTATTTTTAATGGACAAGTAACACAAATGTAGCCACAAAACAAGAGCTCTCTTTCCTGTACACTAATCATAAGCCCCATCATATTTCATAAGGGTGTTGTATTACTGAAGAGTCACCTGTCTGATGGAGGCATAAAGCAGATGTCTTAATTGCACTGAGGATCTTGTGGCATTATCTTGCAAGTGCTACAAGAACATGATGTTCTACTCAAATTGTAACTCAAGATGTTAAATGTCTGTAGTCTGCCTCCTCAAAGTCTCTATTTATGGTTTGGTTAGATCCATATCCTGTATTTCCAATGACTGAGTGCCAAATAAATTTATGCAGCTGCTGTGCTTCTCACCAGGAATGGCCACATTGCTGCATCACAATGAATAACCTCTCACCCATCACAAAGTGCTGTTATGATGCTGATTACTTACAGGGTAATCAGATGACAGAGTAGGAATTATCTGCAATGGTCAAAGTTAATTATATAATTAAATATTTGACCACAGCTGGAATTAAGCAGTTGGACAACCTCTAGATAAAGGGGAACTCCAGAAAAGTGTTGTAAACATTTTGTTCCATCTACAGCATTTCATCAAATTCCCAGCTCCCAACCAAGACTGAGTTGGCTGCACTTAATAGCACAAAATGTAGATGCTATTAATTCTTGAACAAAAAATGAACAATGGGGAGCAGCTCTGGAACTGCAAAGGGTTGAAGGTGGAAGAGGAATGAATTGTGGGGAGAGGCATGAGGTCCATACAGCAAGGCAGCACTGGAGACGAATGGATACCATACAGCAAGAAGAGGAAGAGCAAATAAACAAAATGAGTTCTTCAAAGGAAATAAATAGACAGAGAAACAAATTAAATATGTTAAATAATTATTCACTTGACAAGATTTGTTTTGGATTTCAGTGTGTCAAGAAATGTGTCTGAAGTACAGAGCATACACCTTCAAGTCCCACTAATTTCAGTAGGATTACACTTACGCTTCAGTGTAGGTACCTAATCAATTAGTCTGCTGAGACAAAGGCACAGTGCACAGTCCTTGCCAATGGCAAACTTTTGCTGTCTATCACAAACCTGGTATTAAGGAAACAATTCCAGTTAAAGCAAAAATTCAATATTCAACTTTACAGAACATTTGGATGATAAGAATCCAGGTTCATAGTTTATTAATAAACTTTGAAACTTTCAAAGACCTTTACCAAATACTGGCTAATTAAAAATCCTATGATCGCAACATAGATAATTGTGTGATGGTTTGGGGCAGGGAGAGGAAAAAGCAAGTTTGGGTTAACCAATCCCACCCAGTGACCTCAGCTGGAGGCACCTTCATTGCCTGCAGGGCCTGGATTAAGCTGACTTGAGCAAGGGTCCAAATTCCCTTTTCCCACACTGAAGGGGAATCTGAAATATGTCAACAACATCTGAGGAAATTAAGGGAAGAGAAATGAGAAGAACTGTCGATCTGCAGGAGCTGCCTGCAGGAACTGGGCAGAAAGGGTCAGGGGGCTGCTGATGTGCCCAGCCCACTGCTGAGCCTGGGCTGTTCCAACCCTTCTCAGGCAGTTCTCTCTGCTGAAGGACACCCAAGAATGATTGCAACAAAACCCATCCAACTTCAGCTCAGCAACAGTGTGCTGGTATCAAGAAGGAAGTGCTTGTAAACAGAGCTAAGTCACAGAGAACAGTATCACAGACAGATTTAGCTTTGTCCGTCCACAAATTTACTGGGAGAGAGTTGCAACTTCTACTAGGGCAGTCATAATTCCAGACAAATTGCCCTTCAGAAGCAGGATGTGGTAGTAACAGGCAAAGGCTGCTTCATCTGGACTTATATGCCATATGCAGAATTCCCTCAAAAACGAATTTCAAAATTGCTGTTGCTGCTGGCAGTGTGTGAAGCAGAAAAAGCCTTCAGAATTCTGTTGTCCACTTTGGTGACAGACTCAAATAAAAGACTAAGTGCCCATCCTGGCTGTGAGACAGAGGTGAAGGAATGCATTTTTCAGTGCATTAGAGAAACAGGGCTTTAATGCCCACATGCAGGTACAAGCTCTAGTAAGGAGCCTTGCAGGGGCATTAAACCGTAAAGAGGGGGAGAAAGGGAGTGAATAAATTGGCTGTGAGTGTTTGAATATAAAGCAGTGCCTTGGTCAGGGGGTAAATCATGTGTCCAGGATAGGGAGTCACCTCGATTTCTTGCAAGAACAGGCCGTGCCTGCAGCAGCCGTGGGGGTGTGCAGACCCAGCACAGAGGTGTGAATGCCGGAGGCACGGAGAGCCAGCCCTGTCCCCAGGGCTTTGACTGGCATGGAGACAAGCACATAGAAGAAACCAACTCCCTCACACCCTCAAAGCTCTGAATGGGTTGAAAGGCAGCAGGAAATCCTGCCTGATTCCTATGCTGGAAGGCTCTTGGGAAGGAAGAGGTGATGGGGGATGCCATGGCCACAACACAAGCAGGGGAGCACTGTGGCAGATACCAAGGACCATCCAGGAAAAAGGTGCCCACATTTGGAAACCACAAAGAGGCCAAAGTGATAGAGACCCCAGAGGAATGTGAGATGTGCAGATGTGCAGTGGCTTTTGAAAGGTGCTAACACAACTACATAGCAGGTAGTGTTTTGGTGCATAAAATTTTGTAGAATGCTATGTCAACAGCATCCTTGTGCCCTGACAACTGGGACATGATATACTGTGAAGGAGCAAGATTCAGGATGGGAACAGTTCCCAGGCATGAAGAAAAGCATACAGCAATTGGCAGGACTTTATTATATGGACCTTACAGTTATCATATGGACTTTACTGTTATTATGTGGTTTCATTGTATTCACACTACACAGTGGTCGTGCCCAGGCTTGCCATGAGTTTGCCTGCTGCCTGCTCCCTGCTTCCTCCACTCCTCCCCCTTTTGTCCATGTCCCTATCTTGGTTAAACAAGTTAAAAAGGGTTTGTTTAAATGGACTTCGAGGAGGACAGATCTGTATCTTCCAAATCAGTTTGGACAGCTGCATCTGCTGAGTGACTCCCCCCTTAAAAAAATTGTTTCCAGCCTGAGATGCCACTGCTCCATGGTGTCTAAAAGCTTGGTGGTAGTGGTCTTCTGTGGACTATGAGATCCTGTGGAAGGGATGGGTTATGCAGGATGGAACGCAGTTGAGGGGGTGTTTGTGTTAACACAGCACCCCTGGAGCTTGCTGCCTTGTTTCCTGACAGTTCACAGGTGCACTGTTTGAGATCTGGCATTGAATTAAAAGTCACTTTTCTCCTTAAGTCGGGTGATTTTTTCGGGGGCAGCAGTTCTCCGTAGATGTTAGTGCGGGAGCGGCAGTCCTTAGTCCAGTGTCTGCCTTTGCCACATCGCTTGCACGGTGTCTTTGGAAGCTGAAATTTTGTGGTTAATCGTGGGCAGTTCTTTTTTATATGTCCTGTCTCACCACAGTGAAAACAGGTTTGTGGTCTAGCTAAAGCTTCAGCTATTAGTCTTGCTTTATGAGAATTAGACCCCACATTCCGACATGCCTTAACCATGACCATAGGAGTGGGATCTTTAAGAAAAAAAAGGTGTCCGGGGCTGCTGCCCCTCAGTTCAATTAGACTCCCAGTTCAGTGCTGTCGGCGTCGTAGGGGGGTCACCCGCCCGTAGCGGATTGGGCCCTGGCCCTTGCCTCAGCTGTGGTGGCCTTGGTGGGGAGCTCCCCCCGGACACCTCAACCATATTGATGGCGGCCTTAGCTTGGACGCCCGCTCGGCACAGCGCCCTGCAGCCCAGAACTCCTGGGCTCAAGCGATCCGTCGGGCTCAGCCTCCCCGGTAGCTGGGACTACAGGCGCGCGCCACCGCGCCCGGCAAGAGTCACTCAGCAGATGCAGCTGTCCAAACTGATTTGGAAGACACAGATCTGTCCTCCTCGAAGTCCATTTAAACAAACCCTTTTTAACTTGCTTAACCAAGATAGGGACATGGACAAAAGGGGGAGGAGTGGAGGAAGCAGGGAGCAGGCAGCAGGCAAACTCATGGCAAGCCTGGGCACGACCACTGTGTAGTGTGAATACAATGAAACCACATAATAACAGTAAAGTCCATATGATAACTGTAAGGTCCATATAATAAAGTCCTGCCAATTGCTGTATGCTTTTCTTCATGCCTGGGAACTGTTCCCATCCTGAATCTTGCTCCTTCACAATATACCGGTGTTCTGGGAACTAATATTGATGGCCAAGGGTATGGGAAACCCAGCAGGGATATCAGGGCAAATGTCTTGATCCTGGTGGCAAATGCTAAGTGCAGCAAAGATTTGGCCCTAGCTGGAATGACATAAAGTAAATCTGGCTCCACATCAGTCTGGACCTGATAAATTGCTGACCTGATTATTGCTACAGATTGTGGATCTGAATTGATTTCCCAGTGAATTCTTGCCTCCTCCCCCAAAAAATGAGACACTATCCACACCAGGCTGAGGGGTGGGAGAGGGCTGCCAGCCCTGGCAGGAGAGGGCTCTCCTGGAAGGCCAGAGCTTGCCATATTAGGATTAAAAAACACAACTTTTATTCTTTCTTTTTCACTCTGGGAGTTTTCCCAATCATAGTAGGTGTGTAAATCCATCTCTGTCTGGTCCCTGTTGCAGGAGCAACCCAGAGGACAAACCCTGGAGGGGAGCCCAGAGAGGCCCTGAAATCACTATCCCTGGAGTTCTTCAGGACTCACCTGCTCTAGCACAGGGTTGGACTAGATGATCTCCAGAGGTCTTCTCACTATTCTGGCAAATATCATATGAGCCTCCTCACTTAAGCCAAGCCCAAAGCCAACACACACTCTGGAGCACCAAAGTTTCTTCTATAACCTTGGACACTTGGGCTGAATAAAAAAGCCTTGAACTCCTGGAAGGGTGGAGGAGCCCAGCTAGAAACCATGGCATGCTGTTGCTCAGCCTTCCCTCCCTTCCCGAGCAGCTGTTAATGACTCATTCACCTCAGAAATGTTGCCAAAAGCCATAGGAGCCATAGGGACTGGGGGAGAATTCCTTTCTCTTCTGAGTCCAATAATATTTATTGAATAACAATGCTACCAGCTCTGAATCACTGCTCCTGCCAGCAGGCAGGGGGTGTATGATTCTGGTACTAAAGGGCTTGATGATTGAATGCCTTTTGTCAAAAATCCATCCAGAGATTAAATCTAGAGCTGAGTGATGGTCTTATTTCAGATACTGAGCACATGAGGAACTTGGCTAGCTTGAGGCTTGAACAGAAGCAAAGCTGTCTGAACTCTGAAAAGAGTCCCTTTGTCAGAAGGCATTTTGCTGGGGCCTTGAACAGAAAAATGTTGTATGTGTGATGGCTTTTATGATAGACCCACACTACCAGCACAGGAAAACAATCATCTGTTTTTTTAAATGACTCCAAGATAAATCACAAGTAGCGTACTATTATTGATTTATTTATATCTCAATGGAATATTTGAGCTATATTTTATGGTTGGGTAAACACAAACTGTGCAGAATTTTGCACTGTTTGAACTTGTCAATGGCAGGCCTTTCTTGTGTTTTCATTTTAATGTAAATCAAACTTTGAAATGTATGGATGCAATTTATTTCCAGTTATGTTTATTGGACTTGGGAACGACTTATTAACCAGAGGCTTTACTCAAATTCTCATTTGATTTCCGTGGATTTGCCTGCCCAGCCTCTGTGGAGCTTTCATGGCTTGAGCACTGCAGACCCTAAATCTGATGGAAAAGACAACAGTGGTTTTCTCACAGTGCCCTTGTGGACTCCTGGAGTGAGGCTGTAATGGAAAGAATACATCCTGCAGAGCAGAGCGCTCAGAAGAAAGGGCTGGTGTCTGGGTGAAATCCCTGCTTGGCTGCCAAGTCTTCCCTTCAGTGCAACAGGGCCAGGAGTTCAGTTTCTAATTTAGCTCTGTGGGGAGAATCACCCTCCATAACATACTGTAGATCCCTCTGGTGTCAAGGAAAAGACTGCAAGGATTCAAGAGAAGATAGTCTTTATGCAATTTTGAAATAAGGAAAAAAACCTCTAATAATGCTAACCAAATCCAGACCAGCAAGCACAAAAAAAGGTCAAGTACCTGGCCTGTAAAAGCAGTGGAGGTGTTATCAGCCAAGGTAGCCCATGCCTGGTCATGCCACAGCTGACAAAAGCCTCTTTCTGAACTGGAACAGATGGAGCAACAGAGGTGGAAAGGCAAGGACACAGGTTTTTCAGTATTCCTTTAAAACCAATAGAAAAATCCTGACCTGACGTCTTGACAGCAGATGCCCTGATGATTCCTCTCCAACTCAACACTTCCCCAAGTCCCCAGTGGACCTTGGGGAAATCTTGGCCATGGTGAAGTCAGTAAGAGTTTTACCCTCACCCTACAACAAATTACCTTTGGTGACTGAGGAAGTCTCTCATCACCTTGTACCTCAGTTTCTCCAGAGAATATCATGATTTCCTGTTTGACTGAGGTGTCATGAGGACAAGTTCCTGCTGCCTGGGGACCACTAGCTGTGACTCTGATAACAGGCACAGGAAAATCTGCATGGGTCACTGGACACATTCCATTCTTATGACACGTGGATCCGAAAGAGCATTTAAATCAAAACATCACTGGTTATACTCAATCCTTAGTGAATGGCAGCCTGTAAATTTCTTAGTCTAAATTATTAAGAGAACATTGCATACTTTATAACTGCACGTTTGAATATACTCATGGGGTCAGGCTCTCCTTTTAGCCCCTGCAACATAAAGTTGGAGTCATTGCCTGACTCCACCGTAGTTACTCCAGATTTATTTCAGGGTAACTCTGAGCAGGATCTTGGGTTTTGTTTACGACTTTTCATTTGTATTTTGTGAAAACTTAATAAAAATCTTTTAAAACTGAAAAACATCATTCCATAAACCCCACATATGGGATCTTTAAACTCAACCAACTTATGAACTTAACCCTGACTTGTCTTCCTCCTCTTGGCCTTTTCAGCAACTATCACTCTTCAGCCATGTCTGTATTTACAGAGGTCAGACAAACCTCAGACAGCCAACTCTTGCCTTTGCCTAAAACAATAACAGGAACATATGACAAAACTGAACCACAATGTCCTAAAATGGAAATAAAAACGCTGAAAATGAGGATAGACAGCTGAGAGAATCCAACTTAATGCCTGCAAAGTGGAGCCTAACCAACATAACACTGGAACCTATTGAGAGGTACTGGTACAACTAGCACCATTTTTTTGGGCGTTTTATTCATATAATGGAAAAATCACATGTCCTGTCCTAGAGGTCTTTCACTCAAAATTCTGGCTGTGACTAGCTCTAACCATGCTAGTGACTGTTATCCAGAGATGTTAAGGCATGGGATTTTATAATAGTCTATTCTGAAATGCTTGAAGCTGGCCATGGCTTTTTCCACAGGGGTTTCCACATCGACTCACCAACACATGGCCGATGCAAGGTATCTGGTTTAGAGTCAAACACTTTGAAGGCCTGAGAGTTCAAAAGTTCCTACATCACCTAGCAAAGTTTTCTAAATTTGTCAATCCTCCCTGTTAAAAATCACAGTGTTTCAGAACATCTCAGTGCAATTCCATTGATTCCCATGAAGTTCCTCCTGAGTAAAAGAACCTTTGAAGAATGGGAGGGTAGAAAGATTGGTTTAGATTTAGCACTGGTATAAGACCCTCTGGTTTAGATTCAATATATCTGATTTGCCTCCTTGCTTTGCTCCTGAGGAAAAAAAGAAAGGGAAAAAAAAAGTGTTTCAGGCTAAAATGTAAAGACTGCCTAAGAAAAAATTAATTAATTGAGAAATGAGCAAACAGATCTCTCCAGAGGTTTTGAAAACCTTCACTTCAGCTGTAGAAGAGTTAAGAATGAAAGGATGAATTAAAGACCTGATCTACATCCCTGAAAGCCCAGTGGCAATCCATCCCAAGGAAACCAACATTAGACTCGGAAATTAAGGAGAATAAAGTAATATGAAAAAGAGTAACTAGAGATACTAGTTAAATGCAGAGATGATGTGCATTGAGGTATTACTCAGTCAGCATCAATAGAAAAGCATTGATCTAACCCACAGGGAAACCAGCCACAAAAGCACTGTGAGCCACAGGAGAGCAGCACCCTGCTTGAATTCTGTGGGTGATCACAGGGATGGCCTGGGCTCACCTTAGTGCTCCTAGGCAGGCTCTCAGAACACCACAATCCCCAGCAGGGCTGGCAGCATTTCTGATGCAGTTTTGGGATGCTCTGAGTCATTCAGACTGGCCAGTGAATCTACTTACTTTTGACAGCTGCAGCCAAAGGTCAGACAAATAACAGGAGTCATCTCCTTAATGTTGCAGATGGCAGTGTCTGCCCAGGAAACCAAGGTGTTGATCTCTCTGCATAATGTAGGCAAGTGCTTTCCAAACTCTTGTACATCTTATTGCAAGCCCCTCAGGGACCAGCCTATCACTTAGATCTTCTTAAAGGAAGGTCTGACACAGTGGGACTCTCCATTTACTTTAGCACCACACAAGCA